GAGCTGAAAGCAGCAGAATACACATAATCTCACAGAATTACTGATAGAGCTATGTGGTAATGTTCTCCTTGTTATGACTACTGAAGATAGAGAAAACTCAAATAAAGCAGCGCTGCAAATCTGCTTTAAGGAAAGCAGACAGTTTTGACACCATCTGGAAAGATGCTCCCTTTATTGTGTTGCAATTAATTATATTGGTTTATGGAAGCAAACAAGAGACAGAAGTATTCGAATTGTATTAGACACCGAATTTATAGCATTGAAAATAATTACTTTGAAAATCATGAATCTGAATTTTTTTTGCTCCGAATTTATCTATGTGAAATAAAAATGTAAAAATTCAAGTTAAAAAAATTCGAATGTTTAAATTCAGATCCCAAAAATTAAAGTGAAAAAAATTCGACGTCAAATATTTTGGTGTTTAAAATTCGATGTCAAAAAATTCGGTGTGTAAAATTCGACGTCAAAAATTGCGATGCAGCCTCATCCGGGCTACTCAGACAGGATAAGCAATCGAGCCCTAATGCAATCAAACCGACTTCTGGCTTATCAGAGCCAAGCGGCAAACCCCGGGACAGTGCGGTGAAGCCCAATGCTGCAAACTATAGGCGATGGATGCAGATGGGAGCAATTCCCGTAGACCCTATGTTAAATGTCCAACTTAACATAAGAAAATGAACATGTTTCTAGCCTGGATCTACAAAAACATATTCTGTATATAGTTAGATTCCCCCTTCATGACAACGGGACTGCTGCTCCTAGCTCCGTTAGCTCCGTGATGCTACAGCGGCTCAGCTCATGAGGAGAACACTACTTGAACTCGGCAGTGTTTGTTGTGTTGGCTCCTGGTGGACTATTCGTCCTGCAAATATAGGATTTATCTGCGGTTGAAACAGACCGTCCATGAATGCAGTTTCTTCGGTAAGTCAACCCTGCGTACTTTATGTTATGTTACTGGTGTTTTTATTAAGCTAACGTTAATGAATGTTTAGAGTTGGGTTAGCATTTGAGCAATCGTAGCTCCATCTGTGCTAACGATGCTATGCGTAGCATCCAAGAGTGTAAAACATTAAGTGGGATGCTACTGTATACTAAAAGGCTTCTGTGCGAGGTTGCTAAAATAAGGTCATCCTTGTACGTTAGATAGTTAGTTTGCTATTTAGGTTACTGTATGCATTGTTAAGGTTCATTTAAATTCGCTATGCTCTACTATAGCATAAAATAGACTAGCTAACTTCAACGTATTGTTGAAGAGAGGCTTAGTGTATATTAAATCAACCTCACAATGAAATGTGTGTATCTTTTAAAATATGAACGTCACATTTCAAGATGGTCCAGAAATAACGCTCCCTTAGATATTGTAATATGGTTTGTTGAACTGGAGTTATTTATTACCGCCTATCTGACGAACGACCCAAACATTGTTGTTTTTAATATTATTACCAATGCCTCTTTTAATTGTATTATCCTCACACTTGAGAAACAGCCTTATCGTGGCTGTACAACGGAACATGTAACTTAATTCCTGCATTTAAGGATGATGAATAGCGTAGTCAATGCTTTAGTGACAAGGAAATGATTTGTTTAAAATTTATATATGACGTTATCTGTGACTTCAGTGGAAATTAAGCTTATCCATTGCATTTGTTCAATAGGTTTGTGTCTTACCCCTATGTGTGTGATACATATGAATATGGCATATGAAAACAAATTAATTTGACTGACTCATGAAAACCTCATCCAAAGTAACAGTAAAATAAAAAGGACCTACACAATAATACTCAATCAAACTGATACAGTATAAGGACTGTGATATCCAGCAATTTCTTAAGTATAACAATAAGATTATGACCTGTCTTTAAAAGAAGATAAAAAGTAGTTTGCATGTAAAGAAGTCTGTAACCCACGCATGTAACTTTACATCTGTTTGTTCAAAGTGTCCTCAAGGTGATCCAGACAGGCTGGACCAAAGGAGGAGAGACAGATCTGGAGTCCTAGCAGCAGAGAACTTCAGCACGGATTCCAAGGTACATCTTTTTCATGCTTTACAAAGAATGCATAAAGTAATGACTCTAATACACTGATATACATGCCATTAAACATGGCTGAATACTAGATCCCCTACACATCAGTGATGTTGAGTGGACTTTCTTAGCAAAAGGTTACATTTACATTTTACCAAGCAACATCACTTTTTTGTTCAACTTTCACATTTCAATGTATTTAAGGCAAATATTATTGAACATAGTGAGAGCTGCGACCCTTTGTCTTTCAGTGAGACAACCGGACAGAGCAAGCTTCTACAGTTGCACTAAGTTTTGATAACAGTTAAATATTATTTTAATAATACATTTATTTCAATGTTGAGGAATTTAGAACGGTTTATTCATAATCTGATTATCTTTGCAGTACACTGTTGGATTTAAAAAAACACATTAAAATAAAAAAATCATTATATTTATGAACAAACAAACACACCTCTTTCTTAAATAACACACTTGCTCTGCAATAATATGTTTTTTGATATGTCTGTTAGGAAAGGACATGCCTGAGAGACAGGACTGCTTCACCATGTTCTCTTTCTCTGAGGGTCCAGAAGAACATCCAAGAGGGAAAGGAGAAGCTGATGTGATGAGATTTATGAGCAGTACAGGACATTCACTAAGAGACACTTGTATTGTAACACAAAGACCTGCACACTGAATAGTTTTGTAGTCTAACAGGAACTTCATTTGTGTTGTTTTGTGTTTTACGTTGCACCTCAGAGACAGTGTGATTATTGTCAGGCCTATAAAGTTTGGCAAAAAAAAAAAGTCAGCTGATCAAATGCATTTGCCTCACTTTGAGCTTCACATCCCTTGTACCGCAGAGTTTGCAACGTCATAAATAAATGGTGCCAATCTTCATTCAGATGTGAATGTGTAATCTAACATTTTCAGCAAGAATAACGGACAAAAGGAGTGCAAATACAATTTATTGAAATGTGAACTAAAAGTTATCAAGCATGAACCATCACCATTTTTTTTAAATAAAAACGAAATAATATACATAAGTTACACTAAATGTTAATCTGTTAATTGACAGGCTAGGCTTGTGCAGGTGGTAACAGCTATGCCCAGCATGGGCTAAGTTCTGTAGGTGGTGCAGGTCCTCCTCCATCAGGTCTGGTCCTCCTCCCTCAGGCCTGCAGGGTCTTTCCCTGCGAGGAGGACTCCTCGCAGGGAAAGACCCTCAGCCCTCTCCGGCCAAAGCAACAGACAGGACGTTCATAAAGCTGAGGTCTCCCCCAAAGTCTCTAATCATCCATCCTGTGAATATGAGAGGGGAACAAATAGTGTAATAGATGCTTTGGACAATAAGAAATATAAAGTTAACTGTTGAGTTGCTCAGTTTTTTAGATTGACAGGGTTTAATAACACAAATAAAAGGAGAGAAATAAAGATTGGTCTTTCAATAAATTGTGTTGATTTTGTCTTTTGAATTGTTTGTCTGAAGTCAAGTAGCTAGAACTGTTACTTATAGTTTGAATGATACAGTCTGGTTATAATGTGTGGAGGAGGCATCACAGGTAAGAGCACCATTTGTTGTGTTCCATCCACAGCAAATTGATGTGTGTGTATTTATTTATCTACTATTTCTTGAATTATTACTGTCAGTCCAAAACAAGAGATTTTGTTTTGGTAACAAAAAACATCTCTTTTTCACTACACTATCTTGAATACTTTAGTTTTTACGTCACTACATTTATCTAACAGCTTTAACATTGTAAATGTGTCACTTCGGACTAATGACAGCATGTCCTACTCAGCCCTAGAGTCTCTAGGGCTCTGGTCCTACTATTTTGAGAGTTTGAACAAACCAGACCTTCATCTATTAATGTAGAAAATAGTTGGCACATTACACCATTATGAAAGTAATGATTAGTTAGCTCATTGTTCAAAATGAGCTCCAACTACAACAGTTAAGTCAACTCGTGCATCGGTAATAACAATAAATCAAATGATATAATATAATAGTATAACTTGTGTCTACTTTAAATACTTCAACAACACTTTCCTAATTATACTAGCATACTTTTACTAAAGTAACATTAACATGTTTAAATGCAGGGCTTTTGTAAGAGAGTATTTCGTATAGTGTAGCATGGTCTACTTGACTTATCTAACCGAAGTGATCGTTACGTTACTTTGCAAACCGTCACCCCCAACCAACCAACCCACACACACACACACACACACACACACACACACGTTGTGATTCACTTCAATTAATGGTAACGGAGTTTGCTAACAGCAAGGCACAAGGCTACTTCACTCATTTAGCTAGCTAATGTAAGATACAAATGCTGTCGAGCCCTCACTGCTTGTAAAATAAAGAGCACAAACTGACTACTTACCCGAGCGGCGAGCCCCGCTGTTCTCCGTCATTTTTCTCCCGGGTTGTTGTGATCACATGACTGACAAAGCCGTGCTCTGATAGGCCAGAAGTCGGAGTTGCATTAGGGCTCGATTGCTTATCCTGTCTGCGTAGCCCGGATGATGCTGCATCGCAATTTTGGACGTCGAATTTTTGGGATCTGAATTTGAACATTCGAATTTTTTTCACTTGAATTTTTACATTTTTATTTCACATAGGTAAATTCGGAGCAAAAACATTTAGATACATGATTTTCAAAGTAATTATTTTCAATGCTATAAATTCGGTGTCTAATACAATTCAAATACTTCCGTCTCTTGTTTGCTTCCATATTGGTTCTAGTAATAAAAGTCATTAGAAATAAGAAGTGTTTTACCAAATCACTCTGAACTAATTAAATGAAATTTTGAATTTAGAACTCTAACAATTAGTACAACAGAAATAACTAATTCTAGAGCACATCAAATTTGGTTTTGATCTACTTGATTAAAACCACATTTGAATTAAACATAGAAACATTGATTTCCCCTGTAAAAACAGAACAATATTATCGTTCAATGACTACTATCTTTTTAAGAAAAGAGTGTTTTTGAAATGATTTTATTCAATATTGACACAAGAGCATTCTTATCACAGGCGAAAACGATAAGTGGTGCAGCTTTTGTCATCATGTAACCACATTTCTAACTGCAGGTAAACATTCTTTACCTCAAAGCAAAAACCAAACTCATCAGATTCAGGCTAGAAGTAGCACGTGCACGTACAGCAGTGTGTGCCCATCATGTTGCTATACATTCACGAGGCACAAGTATTTGGTTTCCATATAAATATGTTCAGATCATTTGTTAATTAAACTGTATTTATTCATGTTCACACTTCTAAATACACAAATAAAAAATAGCTGATAAAAAGCCATTAATAGTTCACAAGCCTGCTGTTTATTATCTCTAAAATAAAGTACTCTCTAATTAAAATAAAATCACATCCATATTAGATTATTCCGTTTCAATTTAGTTTTCACACTTTCCTCATGTTCTTTCAACACAGGCAGCTGTTGAAAGCTGTTGAACCAATTCCATTCAAAGTCAAGAATAACTCAAATCTTTTGCGATTGGTCCTTTACATTTCACAAAGTGCAGGTACAGGTACAGTAACGTTCGTCCAAATAATGGTCTGAGATAGCAAATGACTAAATGCGGAGAAAAAGAAACAGCAAACCATCTAGCACTGTATTTAACCTCAGACAAAACAAGCAAAACAAAGCTTGAATGTTACTTCTGGCAACACCTAGAATGATTTTATTTTGACTAAGAAACAATCTCTTAGTCAAAAGAAACAATCTCACAGAACAATTTGTGGATGTTTAAATGTGTTCTGTCTTAAAAGGTATATTAGAGCCAACTAAAGGTGGGTGAGGGGTAAGGTGGTCAAAAAGTAACCATTTCAAGGGCCTAGAAAGTGCTAAGAGACGGTACAAAGTTAGTTTAAATAATAGTTTCAAATAAAGCTTAAACATGTTTGTCAGTGTTCAAGTCAAGTGAATTCTCAAGGTAAGACTACGTTGGAGGACACTCCCAGAATCCCAAAGTTATTATTAAAATTCACCAAATAAGAAGCAATCATCAGTACCAGTAGTCTCATGTAGGGGAGGGATGAGTCAACTCAGACTAGAATCCACAAGACGCCACGACAATATCTCCTTAAAACCAATACATCACTGACATCCATTTTGAATTGCACCTTCTAGTCCCTTTTAAGTTATGTGGGGAATATAGACTGATTAGTGCACATATTCATCATCACTGAAGTCCGAGTCGTCGGCCTCCACCTCTCCTTCGATCACAGACTTCTTCCCTCTGCAGCACGACACCGCCAGACCGATGAGAAAAGCCTAAAAATATATAAAGGAGAGCACACAGGAAATATTTAATGAGGATCATTTGATCAATAGAATGCATCAACAGCACCAGGAGAGAGGCTATTAAATATTTTGCTGAGGAGATTAGCTGGGCGCAGAAAATCATTTTTCAGTAACCTTTTTTCCTGAGAAGAAATTAAATGATGTGCCTGGGCTCTCACACTGTTCCCCCTGAAGAAAATACTGTTTAACCGCTTTTAAACTTAATTACATTCTTTAATAGATCTTGTTTTTGTAAATGTTTAGTTGCTCAAAAGATAAAAAAACAATAATGTCAATATGTTTAATATCTAAGAGATATTGTCTGAGATTTTTCTCCCCTCAAAAAAAGAAAGAACATTCAACTATGATTCTCACTCAACTTTAAATTAAAGAGATGACATTGTGTATACATCCTTGGACTTACCCCGATAAAGGCCCAGTTACCAAAGTAGTAGATGGTGCTGAAGAACCAGAACTTATGGAGGAACAGATATGATCTTGTCACAGTGCACTGGTCTGAAAGGGACGGAGAAAACAGGAGCATTCAATCATTTCATCTATACAACAGATTTGTACTTGTATTCAACAAAGGGTCCCCTGATTGTTAAACACAGATATTCTAACAGAATATATTTAAATAGGGAAAATGTTAAATTAAGTGGTAAAGAAATGAGTTTCCACCTGTTTTTCTGGTGTAACATTTCTGCATGAAGTCAATGAACACCAATGGAAATACCTTATATGTATCTAACAATAAATACTAGGTAACTAAAGTTTGGCCAATATGTTGTTGGTTAACAAAATAAAAACAAAAAGATTAATTTGTTCATTTAATAGAAACAGATGAAGAAACGGTTTTACAATGATAAAATGTGATCGTCCACAAATCTGAATTAAAAATAATATAGGTTCATTCCTGTCCTTATAAACACTTATCAGAAACTCAAGTTTAAGTTTCTTTGCCATTCCTGAAGAAGGCTGCGATATTGCCAAAACCTTCAGCAGTTTCTTATGAGTGAAGTTACATTTTAAATCAACGATTCTCAGCTCATCAGAATTTGCATTAAAACAGATATAACTGTTATTTTTTAATTGTAAAAACTAAGCTGTTCCAGTTCAAAAGGCCTTTAGGTGAGTCTTAGCCAAGAATCCCATCCTCTTTAAAATGAAAATATTTTATTTAAACGTTTGCTATATCACACCTTGACAACCTCTGCATTTTTCTAGTTTTGATTAATTGATACAGAAACCCTTGAAGGAAGTAGAGGGAATCGTTGCAGAGAGAAGCACAACATAGATTTCTTCTACAGAGTGACTGATGGTTGTCACAGGTAGAGGAAGAGTGACGACAGGACGAAGACAGACAGACAGCCAGAGGAAACAGGGTTTTTGAGGTAACTGGTTCCGGATAAACAGCATGAGTGCAATAAAAGGTGACATATATTGCTAGATGGGGTTTATAAATGCACAAGTGTAGCTCTTGTTATACATCTTTGTTATAAATGGCTCTTCAGTCACTTAAGAGCCAAAAACAGGCTGCTATTACTATGGAGCAGTGCCTCGGGCAGATGTGTCACTATAACTAAAGAAGACAACCGGTCTGCTGAAAAGAGGAAATCCATGTCACTGTCAATGTGGCTTAACCAGTCGATAAAACAGGGATGATCTAACATTTAATAGAGCCTTGCATAAGAAATAACCAGTGTTACACATTTCAGAGGTAAAAGTGTAACACGCGAGGAGACACCAACAAATTGTGAAGACAGTGAACCATAGGTTATGGGTTATGCATGAAACCCCGATTCTCGGAGAGGGGATTAAAATGAATTTGGGACCCTCTCAATCTCTCAAGATTATTATGTGAAATGGAATTTAAGACATACTTGCTATAGTGTCCTCTTTAGGGTGAAACAACATCTATCATAGGGCTGGGCGAAGTGAAAAAAATCTATTATCTATGTTTGACCGAATACCTTCATATCCATATTTTTTACAATATCATAGGGCCGACCATTGAAGCTTTCACAGAATATTCACATAATAAGATCTTTGAGAAATATTCATCAATTATGTGGATTTGTTGACTAAGCAGTTCAAAGTTTATATTAGAATTGTGTAGAAAATGTGAGCATTTAGCTGTAATGCAGCCTTTAAAATCAGGAAAATAAACTTACTATATAACAATATACACAATATAAGTTGATATCAAGTCTCATACGACAACATCAATATAAAAGCCCTATTACATTAGACAGCCGAACTACATTTACAAGAGATCTCAATAGTCAGGATGTTAAATATTCAATAAGCTATAACAAAAATAAAAAAATCGTATTGTTGTATACGTTGGGCTCAATCTAAGTTCAAAATATGTGAAGGATGTCTTATTTTTCCCTTTTCTTTAGGACTACATGCTGATTGATGTCTTGCTGAAGCTGTTTGGATGCACCTTTCATATCCAACAACTACGTGCAGCCACAATCATGAATAAACCAGTCCTGACAACACTTCAGTTTACCTGTGATGTCCTTGCCACACAGTAAATGGAAAAGTTCCCTAGCAAGAAGTATGAAAAGCTTTCTCAGCAAGCTAACCTTGTTTACTAAGCAGACGCTAACTCACTTATTCACCAAAGTAACATTTGTTTGAAAGTGAATGTAATAAGTTAAATCTATTTCATAAACCAATTTGAACCTGACAGGAAGTTTTAAGCCATTTCTCTGAAACCAGCCTTGGTCGAGATAAACAAGCCTTTACTCTGAAATGTGCAATTACCAAGAACAGTTCAATCAATATTGACTAGGCTCTGTGATCATAAATATAAACACATCAAAACCAAAAACTTGTTTATTTCTTATGAAAAAAAACAAATAGCTTTCTGTGTCTGTGGAGCCGCTCTGTGCTTTATTCTCTTGACATCACCTTTGAGTCTCAGCCCTCCAGTTTTTAACAGAACTTGATCCTGCTATTGATCTGTCTGGCATAGACGGCAGGAATAATTTAAGAATTCTTAAGCTGAGTCATTCCCCTTTATGTGCATGCATGGGTATTGGCAGGAATGGGAAATGCTGATGACGGCAAGTGCCAATGATATGCATTCGTCTGTGCTCCAATTGTTTTTGTGTGAAAATACAGGGAAAAAATAACCAAATTGCCTTCAGATCACTTGTATTGATTAACTTACCATGTACACCGAAGCAACAAAAGAAAAAAGTGACTTCAATATACTCCTAATCAGACTTGTATTATTTCAACAGAACAAGGAAAGAGAGACGTTCAACAAAGTGGAGACGAAACGCTCTGTCTGGCTATGTTCGAGAGCCATCTGGAGCATTAACGCTAACCCTGCTATCACACTGTTCCTTCCACAGCTCTTCACACTGCCTTGAACCCCATGAGCAGTACAATCAGACCTCAGTGTGGTTTAGAAATGAGCCATTAAAGTGAGCATTTTCAGTGTTCCTCTTCAGAGTGTTCACCATTAGAGCAAATGACATAGTCACAGCAGCTGAGGATGTACCAACAATCAGCTCGTACTCCACCAAGATCAACACATAATAGAATAAGCTAGTCTAGCTGCATCCCCATGACCCCCTCTCTTTTCCTCTGGTACCTCAGCCATCTGTAGCTCTCCAGCTGCTCGCCTCAATTGCAGGGCTCCGAGTGGGACCTACAGATGGTTCACAACAGTGGTCTGCCTAAATATATTATCATGTACATCACTGACCCACTTCACCTTGAAATCATTACCGTTTCTCCGATAAGAGCACGGGCACGGTGTGCGAGTGCAGGAAATGTCACCTTGACTCATGATACCTGGGTGAGTGCTGCCCTGTGTAGCCTGATGCATAATGTATAACTTTCATCTCATTCAAATACAAACAGAAAACCCTGAACACACACACACACACACACACACACACACACACACACACACACACACACACACACACACACACACACACACACACACACACACACACACACACACACACAACACACACACCACACACACAACACACACACCACACACACACACACAACACACACACACACACACACACACACACACACACACACACACACACACACACACACACACACACACACACACACACACACACACACACACACACACACACACACACACACACACACACACCCACACACACACACACACACACAGTGCTCTTTATGAAAGCATCTCTATCAGCAAGGCCTTGTGTTCCTACACTGTATGCTTTTACTTTCTCTCCGCCTTAAAAGCAATAGAGCACTTTCATCGCAAAGTCCTTTGAGGATGTTGATGTTCCTTCCACTGAACTATTTTCAAATCGCTGGCTTCTCATATTGTCAATACAGTTTACACAAAAGCACATTTTTGCTTGTTCTAACTTGCAGCGAAATCTATTTAAGTAAGACATCCTTATAAGACAGAGATGGCAATAAAAAGAAAAATAATTGCTATTCACAATATGCATCTTGTTTCCTAGAGATACACTGAACAAAAATATAAACGCAACACTTTTGTTTTTGCTCCCATTTTTCATGAGATGAACTCAAAGATCTAAAAAAAATTTCTATATACACAAAATAACCATTTATCTCAAATATTGTTCACAAATCTGAAAGAATCTGTGATAGTGAGCACTTCTCTTTTGCCGAGATAATCCATTCCACCTCACAGGTGTGGCATATCAAGATGCTGATTAGACAGCATGATTATTGCACAGGTGTGCCTTAGGCTGGCCACAATAAAAGGCCACTCTGAAACGTGCAGTTTTGCTTTATTGGGGGGGTCCGAAAACCAGGCAGTATCTGGTGTGAGGGGTAGGGGTAGGGTTAGGGTAATGTTGTGAATGGAGTGGCCCATGGTGGTGGTGGGGTTATGGTATGGGCAGGCATATGTAATGGACGACGAACACAGGCCACTCGTTTCACAACATTACCCTAACCCTACCCCCCCAGACCCCCCCAATAAAGCAAAACTGCACATTTCAGAGTGGCCTTTTATTGTGGCCAGCCTAAGGCACACCTGTGCAATAATCATGCTGTCTAATCAGCATCTTGATATGCCACACCTGTGAGGTGGGATGGATTATCTCGGCAAAGGAGAAGTGCTCACTATCACAGATTGTTTCAGATTTGTGAACAATATTTGAGAGAAATGGTTATTTTGTGTTTATAGAAAATGTTTTAGATCTTTGAGTTCATCTCATAAAAAATGGGAGCAAAAACAAAAGTGTTGCGTTTATATTTTTGTTCAGTGTATATCTCCAAAGCAATTTTACTCTAGCCAATCACACAACTTGCCAACAACCCTTTCATTATTTAGAAGTTTCAAATATTCACTACATTTTTATCTCATTTTTGGTCTCCACAATCTCCTGAGGGAAATACATGGACCATTACGTCACATGCTCCACTATGTGTACCAGCTGCTCCCTAAGGTTTTCTATTTGCTGTTTTGTGCTTGGCAGGTAGTGGGTTTTTCAGAGCTTTTTTTTCAAGGTAAA